AGGGCTAATATCCAGAATCTACAAAGAACTAAAGCAGATTTACAATAAAAAAACAAACAAACCCATTCAAAAGTGGGCAAAGGATATGAACAGACACTTTTCAAAAGAAGACATATATGAGGCCAAAAAACATATGAAAAAAATGCTCATCATCACTGGTCATTAGAGAAATGCAAATCAAAACCACTTTGAGATACCATCTCATGCCAGTTAGAACGGCAATCATTAAAAAATCTGGAGACAGCAGATGCTGGGGGAGGATGTGGAGAAATAGGATCACTTTTACACTGTTGGTGAGAGTGTAAATCAATTCAACCATTGTGGAAGACAGTGTGGCAATTCCTCAAGGACCTAGCAATTCCATTTGACCCAGCAATCCCATTACTGGGTATATATCCAGAAGATTATAAATTGTTCTACTATTAAGACACATGCACACGAATGTTCATTGCAGCACTGTTTACAATAGCAAAGACCAAGAACCAACCCAAATGCCCACTGATGATAGACTGGACAAGGAAAATGTGGCACATATACACCATGGAATACTATGCAGCCATAAAAAATGATGAGTTCACGTCCTTTGTAGGGACATGGATGAATCTGGAAACCATCATTCTCAGCAAACTGATACAAGAACAGAAAATCAAACACCACATGTTCTCACTCCTAGGTGGGTGTAGAACAATGAGAACACATGGACACAGGGAGGGGAGCATCACACACTAGGGTCTGCTGGGGGGGACTAGGGGAGGGACAGCAGTGGGCAGGGAGTTGGGAAGGGATACCATGGGGAGAAATGCCAGATATAGGTGACAGTGATGGAGGCAGCAAACCACATTGCATGTATGTACCTATGCAACAATCCTGCATATTCTGCACATGTACCCCAGACCATAAAGTGCAATAATATATGTATATATAAAAGAAAAAAAATGGGTGACCTGATAGACATTTCTCTAAAGAAGACGTACACATGTTCACATTATTCTTTAAGACTGGAATGTTATAAAATGTTATTTCTTCCTTCTTTGAATGTCCAAATTCTGCCCATCCTTTGAGATTTAACTTTCATATTACCTGCTCTGAAATGCTTTTCTCAATCTACTTATTAAATCCTTCCCTTCTCCTTTGATTTCCCACAGTATTTTTTCCAATTCCTGCTTAGAGCACTTGTTATTTTAGTCTTTGCTTTTTGGATACAAAGCCAGCCTCCACTGTTTAAATGTAAGCCCCCCAAACCAGAGACCCATTCTTAGTTCACCTTGGGATTGCCTACAACATGTACCAGGGCCTTTACATGTAGACATCAGGGACTCAACAAATTCTCGTGGAGTAGGAGATAAGTGTTTGGAGCCTCCAGGCTACAGCTTTGGCTTTCATTTCGCCTTTTAAAATGCCAGTGGCATCATCTGCAATGAGTGGGTTCTGTTGGCATCTCAAAGAGTTAAAGGAGGCAGTGAGTCATCAGGGCTTTCGGAATGCTGACTGGTTCCAGGTGACTATTTAGAACAGGCAGTTGGAAAACTAAAACAGACATTTTTTTAAAAAAACTCAACCTTAAAACTCCTCTTATTTTAACACGAACAATATAACTCTTTCCAAACTATGGAGCTGAACAATCCCTCTCATTATTTCAATGAAACAAAAACAGACATTTAAACTCCAAAACAACAACAAAAAGCCCCAAGCTCCTAACCTTCCTTGGCCTCGTCAGGCTGCTTGTGCAATGACTCTGCAGGGCTCTCTAGGGGACCATGAATTTGGTTTCATTTTCTAATTTGAAGGGAGTTATTTTCAGTATAAAGTGGTAAAGTGGAGGTGAATGGGAGATGGGAGAGGGTTGTCAAAGGGGAGCCAGTTTCACAGCAGTTTCGGAGGTGGTCAGATTTACTTACTCTCTGCATTAGAAGCAGTCCTGGGGACAGTTAATAGAAACTGGTAACACTGACATAAGACGGAATTACTTTCAAAACAACATATGTATTAAATTTTTTTCTGGTTTAGTTTATATAAGCTTCTTGAATATAAAATAATGCAGTAATAAAAGCCTGATCAGCTCCTAAAATCTTAAACATTGTAATGAACTATCCCATTACCTGTTGCTTTGCCACCTTGATTCATCCACAATTTTCATCCTATTCGTAGTTTCGCCAAAAAAAAAAAAGAAAAATCAATCCCCAATGAATCCCTCCCCCAAATGGTTAGATCATTATCAGTCCATTTGTGAGCCTACCTCTGTTTACATTGGTAAAACTATATCCAATGACAGTTAAAACAACTAAAAAACCCTTTCAGTTAGAAGGCTCTTCTCCAAAACTTTAACCTCATTTGTACTTGGTCTTTACAAAAAATTTCCATTATTTTTTCAGTGATTTTCTATTCAAGTAAACTTATTTCATCCTCCAAACAAAACTATAGTCTGTCTCAATAGCAATATCAAGGGAGGAAAAGAGTTACTCAAAGTCTTGACTATAATTATAAGGAAGGAGAGTGATTATAAGATTCTGTGGGGAAGAAGAATTATGACAAGGGAGATGGTGTGGGCAAGAAGACATAGAAATAGAAAAGGTCTGGCACACAACAAGGGGCTGGGCAGTGATATCTGAGGCCATTTCTGCATGAGTATAATAGTGTGTGTCTTTGGAAAAGGCCATTAAACAGAGCTCCCTCTATCATGAGCCATGAGGCTCTAACATGAGTACTGATTTTATTTCAGCAGAGATGCCAATCCCATGCTCTCTGTAGCCAACAATGTCAATTGAGGAAATTGTGGGGCCAGGAAAGGCACTCACTGCTCTTTAGCTCCATGAAAAGCCTCACCAGCCACCCAGATACTTGGGGGTCAATCCTCACCCTTACCTGCAACATCCAATCTGCCACCGATCCCTGTCCACTCAACCTCATCAGTGCTTCCGATGCCCCGCCTCTCTCTCATCATCCCCGTCCTTTAGCCTGGCCTGCTGCCACGGCCTCCTAACTGGTCATGCAGTCTTAGTGTCCTCTTCCGATCCCTTCTGCCCATGTAAATCAACCAGTCTTCGCAGGCTGTCACTCTCCAGATCCTAACCAGACCTGGCTTTTATACTTCCTAAAATGCTCCTTTCCACCACAAAGGCCTGGAAAGCTATTCAAGCCACCGATTCTCCCTGCTTGCAGTATTCCTTTTAGCCACATCTCTACCTGTACTCCCCTTTTGGGACTTTTCTAGTTTTTACTGGAAGTTGGGTTCTTGGTATGTGCTTTCTCAGTAATATAGATGTGTACTTTTGTAATCAATTGTTTTTTGTTTTTTGTTTTTTTTGAGACGGAGTTTCGCTTTTGTTGACCAGGCTGAAGTGCAGTGCTGCGATCTCGGCTCACTGCAACCTCCACCTCCCAGATACAAGCGAGTCTCCTGCCCCAGCCTCCAGAGAAGCTGGAATTACAAGTATATGCCACCACATCCGGCTAATTTTGTATTCTTAGTAGACATGGGGCTTCTCCATATTGGTCAGTATGGTCTTGAAATCCCAACCTCAGGTGATCTGCCTGCCTCGGCCTCCCAAAGTGCTCTCTTCCCGGTCAGTCTGTACATACTCTGAGGTCAGAGGCTGCATTTACCCATGTATGCTTTCCTTTGTAATATGAACTAAAACAAGAACTTATAGGATAGAGATTAAATGAGTTAATCCAGGCAGAGAACTTAGAATAGTACCTGATGTATATAGGGGCTATGTAAGCTGTGGCTATAATAATACTAATTAGCATATGCCTAGAATAAAGAATGCACTCTATGAACATTCATCGAATGAAAGAGGAATGAATAAATTAATGAATAATTAATGAATTCGGCTATCCAAATGGCCGCTTTTCTTTCCAACCAGCAAAGATGTATAGAAAACTACCACAGGGAGGAATTATCGATCTTCATTAATAATTCCACTGCCATCATGATAAATAGTAAATAGCATTTTTGGTTTCCTGGGATTTTGAGCTCGTTCTACTGTGTTGCTGAAAAAAACATTCAAAGCAAGGAGATATGGAATTAAGAGATAAAGAACTGTAATGTCACAATATATATTTCCATGCTTCTCAATCTTGCCTTAACTAAAATACGTGCTTCTTAATGAGCACCACACTGCTTAATTATTCCCAGGCTGAATCGTTCAGAAAACCACGAGTGACAGGTAGACCATTTCACACATCTTTATACAAAAAATTTCAACCTCAGTTGCCAAAAAAAGGGAAGGGCTTTACCCATTTGTTCCAGTACATTCCATAGGTCTGATTCCTCAATGTCTTTAAGGGAAAGGCATCAGCCACCTGTGTGCACATCATGCTCTGCTGGCCTAACAGAAACATACATGAATGAACTTGGGCTCCCAGCACAGTCTGCAGTAGCAGGACTGCCACACCATTCAAAAGCTGGAAACAGGAAAGGTGGCTCTGAGTTGGCCCAACCCCGCCAAATGCTATTATCTGACCAAGTTTTCTGAATTTATTGTCATTTAACACTGTGGTACTATTTTAAATAGTTTTCCTGCAGGTAGCTCATTTGGATTTAGAAATAAACACTGCATCATCATCACATCAGCAATATCTGATCTTGTTCTTTCCCTCCCATATCAGAGAATGGTTTTTGTTCCATTTCTCTAAAGTTAACTTTTTTACTCTTACCCTGAACCCATCTATTATACCACTGAATTCTGTGAAAATTCATAGTTGGGAATAGAGGCAGCAAACCACCTGGTTATGTATGCACCTGTGCAACAACCCTACATGACCTGCACAAGTACCCCAGAACCTAAAGTAAAAAAAAAAAAATTCATACTTGGTTCCTTTCAGTTCAGTCATCAGTTTGGGAAACTGGTATTTAATTTAAGAGAATTGATAGTTATGAAAAATAAGTCTAACCAATTGTTTGAGCCTTCATCCTGATACATTTAAAACTAAAGGGTGCTTGCTACACTGAAATCCATTACGGACAATGGGAAATATTGGAAATTTAGTCAACTAACCTGTTTTCCTGTGGAGCAAACTGGATCTGTACCCCAAAGTGCTGAAGTCCTGGGCCTGCGAGGGAGCTGAGGATAGAGGCAATTTTTGGCCTTCTTCTGGGTTTCCCGGGGGGAAGGGTGGGTTCTGGGAGTGTCTGAATTCACGTCTATCCTTGGCAGGCAAGTAGAGAGCCTCCTGAACTTTCTTCTTTTCTTTTTTTAACATGTTGACCAGGATATCTGAAAGTTGACTTAAGGATTTAATGACTGATGCTAGCTTTTAGTAATCAAAACACGAATGTCCCAAGTGCCATTAATGTGCCTAACATTTGCTATTTATCATGTGGCAAAGACGGAAGGCTGCAACTTCCTGAAGCCCTGTATATAGTTATGGACAATTTAGGAGGCTTTCTTTCAACATATCACCATTATATGAAAAATTAGCAAACCCAAGGACTTTAAAATGTTCTGAGTTTAAACCAGGCACATTTTAACAATGTTATGAAAGTGCTTACAAAAAGTCAAATGAAGGCTGAATAGCAGCAGACAATAGACTATGTATACATCTTCCCAGATAAAAACGTGAATTTACTTACGTAGCCTATGTATACGTATCAGCCCTTGGTCGAGCAAACGCCTGCTCAGGAGGCAGCAGAAGAGCAGAGAGGGAGAATGGTGAAATCCACCCACATGACAGTTAGCCATCTTCCTCCTGGTGACCAATTCGGCGACAAAGGGGCAGCCAGAGCACTCCAAGCTCAACACATGCTTATGTAGAGTGCCTTCAGATGAGGCTTTTTCAGTCACTAGTTTTTGTTCTCAAATGGAACTGAAAAGAAGTTAATTATTAGCACAGACATATAATTTTAAAATGCACCTTTTGGGGGCCATTGAGATATGCCAGGACCATTGATGATACAGGATGAAACCACTCCCCTCTACCCTACTTCACCGTTCATTCTGGGCTCAAGATGCCTAGAACTCTAAGAGATTTTTGTCCAATCTGCTAAAAGGAATGACTAGAATCCCTATTGAGAATCTCAGAACTCTAACTGCATATGGGGTAAGATGAATTCAATGCCTTTGCATCCCTAGAGAAGGCTCATTAAAATGGGAGTCTAAATGTGCGATGGTGTGGGAGAGAACATTGCTACTTAGAAAGGGGGAGAGGAACCCAGATTATATTTATTCTTGGGCAAGCAGCATGGAAGTCATTTGACTTTTACCTTCCTCCTCAGCTTTAACTCCTACTTGGTGATTTCTGGGAGCATAATCAGTTTTCCTCTCTCTGATGTGGCTCCCATTCCTTGCCTCTAAACAACATGTACTTACCAAAAATGTTCACAGTTTCTTAGTGTCTAAGCATTAACACAACAGAGAAGACGAGGGCTCTGGCCCAATGTGCTGCTCCTCTTTGTATGGAACTGATTACCAGTGTCATCATACACTTCCACTGGTTCACACACTGCAATGGCAATATCCATTTGCTCACTCAGTCAGTGATATTTGCTGAAGCTTGTGCTATAGATGCCAGGCCCTGTTCTAGGCATGGGTATAGAGCAATGACAAGGCAGACTAGTTTCTCGATCTCATGAAGCAGATGTCTTACTGGAGAAATAGATCTCACACATGCTTGCATGCACACGCACATACAGACAACGTCAGAGTGCCAGATATCTAATTTGAAGCAGCTCAAGGGTGACTGGGTGGCTGCTCTACGTTGGGTGCTACAAAAGGCCTAAGAGTGATCTTTAAGCTGAGATCTGACCTGTAAGAAGAACCAGCCAGAAGAAGAGCGTCTACACAGAGGAAATGGTGAAATCCCTAAAGAGAAATGGGCCCAGCAGTGGTTCATAATACTGCAATCCTGTGAACCCACATCATACAATGCACAGGACAGCTCCCCTAGTGAGGATTATCCAGCTGCAAATGTCGATAGCGCCAAGGCTGAGGAACCTCGTGTTAGAAGAACAAGAAGGTAATTGTGACTGAAGCAGAGCACACATGGGATGAGGCGTGAGAAATGATGTTGGGGGTGGGCAGGGCAAGATCCCCCAGGGCCTTGTAAATCAGAGCAAGGAGTCTGGTTTCATTCTAAGTATCATGGGAAGCCCCTTGAAGATTTTCATCAGAATAATGATGCGTTCTGACATACCTGTCATAAAGATCACAATATGAATCTATCTTCTGTGTTGCCTTCCTTCTTCTCACCTTTCCCCTGCCTTCTTGTCCTCCCCACTCCCACTTATGGGAGTGGCCTTGGTGCCAAGCACTTTGCTGGGTAATGAATCCCACTGTCATATATTTTGTGAAGGGGTGTGTGAATGTCATATTTTGTGAAGGGGTGTGAGGATGTCACTGACAAGACATTATTTTCACTCCCTTTCCAGGAAGATCTGATGTTGTTCACAATCATTTGGGTGTATGACTGTCTTTTGTTAAACTCAATTATAATTGCTTTTTTATTTCCTAGAAGCTAGATGTTTCCCATTTGTTGTGTCACAGTCTTAGCCTTCTGGGCTCTACAAAGAAAGATACGAAAACATCCTCCCATCTGACTCTGCATAACTGTGAAACTTCAGGAGTCTTTTTTGGTCATTGATCTTTGATAAGCACAGCTGTGAGGTGATTAAATCTTAGCTGCTATTCTTTGTCATCATAGTCATAATTCCAGTTACATCACACTTGGTAGTGCTCAAAGCACTTATGGGCTTTTCTTTTTTCTTTTTTTTAAGATGGAGTCTAGCTCTGTCACCATGCTGGAGGGCAGTGGCATGATCTCAGCTCACTGCAACCTCCACCTCCCAGGCTCAAGCAATTCTCCTGACTCAGTCTCCCGAGTAGCTGGGACTACAGGTGCCTGCCACTGCTCCCAGCTAATTTTTATATTTTTAATAGAGACGGGGTTTCATCATGTTGGCCAGGATGGTCTTGATCTCTTGACCTCATAATCCACCTGCCTTGGCCTCCCAAAGTGCTGAGATTACAGGTGTGAGCCACCATGCTCAGCCACTTATGGGCTTTTCTCAGCAGGTCTTATGCTCCTGCTCCTAAAGAATAAAAACCAACTTCATTGAGTAGGTATACAGCTAATAAATGAAGAGCTAGGATTTCAATCCAGGTATGAATTGAAGTGCAATATTCTTTCCACTCTGACTCCCCATCATTTTGAATAAGCGTCTCAGATAGAGGGAGCGCTGTTTGAATTGCGGACAGTCAGTAAAGAATCTAGGGTAGCCCCACATGAACAGCGATGCCTGGAGTCAGCACAGTGGAGGAGGGGAGGTGATGGATAGCTCCCTTTTACTGTCTTTTTAAAATAAACATATAGGAACAAGCTTGGACTGTTCTTTCTCTGTCATATCTCATTTCATCCCTCCTATATGTGCAGACATTCATGAGCCCAGACAGGGATTAAGAAGTTGGTAAGAGCAATTAAAGGAGAAGATCCTAGACTAGGATCAAAGCCAGGAAAAGGAGCAGAGCTCATACTGGGGCTGGGGCCAGGATTGAGGTCCAGGCAGAGACCATGCTTGGAGATGGACGGTGTAAGAGGAAGGAAAGGGAATGCAAGGGTGACAACACAGTGGGCAGCGCTGACGGACGAAGGCTTGTGTCGGGGTGGGGGTAATTCTCAGCTGAACCCACTGTTCCTGTCCAGATAACAAGGCAGCTAAAACTCACCTGACTCTGACACACAGGGTCTGCTAATACTCGAGTAAAATCAGAGACCGAAGTTAATCAGGCAGCGTGCCTACCTCACATTCGGTTTGTTTTTACCTCTTTATGACTCAGTTTCCTTTGTGCAGACTATTTTCATGCATTTTGCATAAACAGCTAAAGCAAAAGTGTCTCTTAGTAATTTTTAAAAATGAACAAAAATATCTATTTGTAAAGAATGGACCGAAATGATTTCTTGTGCATGTTTAAATTCTGCAAAAGCAATGAAAATGTCAAAATCTTTTTACAAGAAGCTTGAAAGATACAATGAGAAACAATACTGAATAATGATCTGGGAGGCCTGAGGTCCAACCAGCCCGACAGGGGCTCCTTAGAAGTAACCATTTAGTCTACAACTAAAGGCAGCACATGCTCCCATGGGCTACTACCACTTTCAGCACCCAAAATAACTGCCTCCTGGAGCCAATAAGAATTCTATCTCATTTGGTACTGATCAGTTTAGCTAAAAAAAAAAAAAAAGAATTCTATCTTGAACACTCATCTATACTCACTTCCGAATTTGGGAACATTTGTAAGTGGAACTCACAGCAGTAGATCTGGCTTTTAAATAAGAAGTTAAATTTAAATCAATCTCTGCTCTTCATAAGCTAAATACCATTTGTCGTTTTTCAGCCATCATTTGAGTTTCACCCACGCACCAGCCACAAATTCTGGGCCACGGTGAAGCTGTGGTCAGCCTGGTGTCCGGTCAGCTTGCTAAAGATAACTAGCTAACTTACCGGCTCAGGGCTAAAACAAAAAGAACAAACAGAGGAGCCAAACAATGTATTTTTTAAAATTAATGTTAAAAGACGGGGTAAAAAAGCTCATACTTTAAAATAAACTAAAATGTTCCTTGCAAGAGTAACCATGTCAGGCTAAAAACACATTTGTTTTTTCTTTTATAGAAACACTTTTTCACTAGTTGCAGTACTTGGCTGAAGGGACATTTGACTTCTCAGTGAAAAGAAGCAATGTGAATTGGAAGCTAGGTGGGGAGCTCAGCCATGCGGCTTGGGAAAGACTGTTGTTTACCCCTTTCAAACCAGGAGAGAGGAAGTTTCTTCATCATTTTTGAAAGGATACTGATTTCATTATCTCTCTGCTTTAGAATATCTTGTAGCTTTCTATATTCGTCCTCTTTTAATGGTTGACAGTCTTGGTCTTTGCTTTCAGAGGAGACTGTACTGCTTCCAAGGATCTTCTTGTCATTCAATAGTTTCTGTAAGACAAAGCAAGAGCTTAGCATCCATATCTCTAGTCCAAATTTCTTTGTTTCTTTGACTGTTTTTCCTTTAACCATTCCCTGCACACATCAGGCATGTGTGACCTGCCTGATGCAGGTGCAATGTCTTTGCGATGAAGTTGCTTTTTTGGCTTGGCATGTTTTCTCCCTTCTACCTGCCTTCTTTTCCCCCTTCCTCCCCCATCCCCCTCAACCCCCTTGTATCTTCTCTCTCCTCCCCTAACTTGGGAAATTCCTACTCAGCATTATCTCCTCTTGGACTCCTTTCCCTTTCTCTATATATCATTCCACTTAATTCACACTTTTATTCTAGTACTTATCATGTATTGTGATGTTTTACAACATCTGTCTTCTCTATGACTTGCTTATTAAACTCTGCCTTATCTATACCTGGCCCTTAGTAACTCACAACAAATGTTTATTATGTTAATAAAGTATGCAAAAATACAAGCCAGCTAGAAGTAAAAGTGATGATATTCCCAGCCCCTCATCATGAAAATTAAAACCGAAGGCAGAGAAAAACTGAAATATCATATGGGTATATCAAACTGTTGAAAAAATGCAGAATGCGATGCTCTTGATATGGCTTGAAATATATATACATATATATATATATATATGGCTGCACTTTAGGTTCTGGGGTACATGTGCAGATCATGCAGGATTGTTGCACAGGTACATACACGACAATGTGGTATGCTGTCTCCATCCCCCGTCCCTATAGCTGGCATTTCTCCCCATGTTACCCTCCCCAACCTCCCTACCCCACACTGTCCCTCCCCTGTTCCCCCCAACAGACCCCCTTGTGTGATGTTCCCCTCAGGGAGGAAAATATATTTTTTAAAATATGGAACCATTCTGTGCAGAAGGTAGAGGTTCCTGGCAAAAGAATTAGAAGTTCATAGCCTGAGTTTATTTATTGGCAAGTAAGATATAATCTCTGAAGAAACTCAGTGATAATCAGACTATTGGTTCAAAGACTGTATCATTTTCTGGGCATACAATACTGGATCCTAACCTTCCAAGAACTGGTCAACTAGAAAAGCTTTTTTGCAGCTTGAACATGGTTGAAAATGGCTTCATTTGGGGAAACATTTAAGTTTACCTTTAAATGATGAAAACAGTGATGAATTTTACGCATATCAGCGCCAACCTCTAATCTACTCTCTGGATCCTGGTCTTCCAGAAAGGATGTTATTAGTTTTTCCAGCCTAAAAATACATAATGTATGAGAAGCAACTGTGAGCTAGACGCTTTAGAGATTCTAATGGCATTACCTGGTTGGTTAACATTTAAAGTACAGGACATAGTTCCACCTCTTTATCGAAGTATATATTTGACTATAAAAATTAAGGGAAAAAAAACACTGACAAAGTGAAATCTGTAATGAAGCAATTATTTGACTAATTTCCAATGAATTTTCATATGAAGCTTTCATTATAGGAATCATCTGATTTCTACACTCAATCCATTTTAGCCACTGAATTTCTATGCCCCTGTGCCTGGCTGCTGCATTTGCTAGAAAAAGTAACAAGAATATTTTTTAAATTAATTTCACTAAAAATTCATGCTACTCTGCCTCAGCTGGCACCTCAGTGATGCCCCACTATCTTTTTAATCATTCCAGGTGATCTTCCATTCTTCACAGTGCCTATTCCAAATCTTTCTACAGCCCTCAAACCTTTCACTACTCTTTCACACTCTGTCAGTAAAGTCACTTCCCACCAGATGGAGAAAGTCACACAGACTCCTTTGTTTCCTCCTTCTTCGCCTCACTGCTCAGGCCCCCTTCCTGCTTCTGTAGATTCTGGATGATATTCTTCCTCTATCTAAGGCCAGTCTCTCCCCTGGGCTCGCTCTCTGCTTCTTCCAGAGAAGAAGTTTGGCTGGGTGCAGTGGCTCACACTTGTAATCCCAGCACTTTGGGAGGCTGAGGTGGGCAGATCACTTAAGGTCAGGAGTTCAAGACCAGCCTGGCCAACATGGTGAAACCCCTCTCTACTAAAAACACAAAAACTACCTAGGCAAGGTGGCACATGCCTGTGATCCCATCTACTCAGGAGGCTGAGGCAGGAGAATCACTTGAACCCAGGAGGCAGAGGTTGCAATGAGCTGAGATCATACCACTGCAGTCTGAGCAAAAGAATGAGACCCTGTCTAAAAAAAAAAAAGTTCTAATTTATTCATAGTACTGTGTGTCCATGTAGCATTCTAGTACTTCATCTCAGAGGAAAATTCTTGGCTTTCATTTGTCTTTGTGCTTCCCATCCCCTAACATTAGGTTCTCAGTACAGATATGTTCACTAGTTACTGGATTCATTGCCGTGGAAATGGTTGTCCTCTACGTTGAGATGGAACTCTTAAAAAGGAAGGTGTAAGGATGACAATCAGTATCTATGGTGTTAGATATCATAATACAGAGGCAGCACACCTTCCTAGGATGATTATGAAAATATTTGCATACTTTTGGCATCTTTTAAAGCTGTATATACATGCTTCCCCTTTGCTATTATTATCAGGCCACTCAGATAAGATGTAATGATTTCTATCATACAACAGCCTTGGATTTCATTTTTACCTCCTGTAATCTGTGACATGTATCAGCTATATATTTGCAAGTGTGAGACAATTTCTACCGTCATTTTAAAGGCGTTTCTTCGGGGGAAGAGATACTTGTCATTTGCTGATTGACTTTGTGTTTCCTTGTGGAATAGAGCTTCAAACCACCAGATATACAGAGAGCTTTATTCCTGACACATTTTTTAAAAAATTATGTAAAGTATTATGAAAATACATGTTTATGAACAAAATTCCAAACAATGCAGATGTGAATAAACTAAAAACTGAAAACACCTCCCACTCCCTTGCCACCATCCCCCCCATTAAAAAAAATTTTGATACCTTGGGTGATTCACTGTTAACAGTTGAAATATATTATTCTTATTCTTAATGAAGCAGAAACCTATACCTATATATGCATTTATATATTTTGGTTTTACGTTTTTACAAAAATGAGATCACACTCTGAATAATGTTTTGCACCATTATATTTCTAAAGAAATTAAGACAGATGAGCTTCCCCATCAGTGCATATCCAGTAGAGGTATTTCATTTCTAATGGCTATATAAGATTCCATACTATGGCTGTACTATTTCTCTCTTGCTGGACACTGAGGTGACACAGTCATACAGTTGCTACTTTCGTCTGTATCCCATGAAGAGGCCTTGATCTACAATGCTGACTTAATGAGGCTTAAAAAATAGTAATGTTTCTTTACTTGTATTTTCCCTGAATACATGGAAGAAATTTTGAAATTTTGAAAAATCACCATGGGTTCTAGAATAGACATTCATTCTCTAGAGTGAAAGCACTCTGTGATATCCAGTATCCATAAAATTTCTAGCAGACAATATTGAGTTGGAAGTAATGGTTAATCAATTCTTTCTTCTTGCCTTTTCTTTAGAAAACAACTTCTGTGTAGTTTAACCTCAAGAATATATTCTAGGAAACGTTTTCTGAAGGAATGCTGAAGTGGACTCCTGGGTCAGAAGAAAACCTCGTAAGATACAAGCCTGCTGATGAGCTGGACCGCTCACAGATTGCTCACGTGCCCTGGGCTTTGGCTATTCCTCCAAGGCTCCTGTCCCACACAGTAACAGTGTAGGATACAAGGAGGACCAGCAACGTGATACAAAGGAATGGGCAAGAATTTCTGCCTAAGTAAAAGAACTGATGGCTTTACTCCTTCTGGGGCTCCATTACTAGTACATGATTAAGAATGAAGATCAGCATTTTGACATGCAATTTTGCTTTCAGCACTTGAGAACACAGAGATAAGAAACATGCCTGGTCTTTGCTTCATACATTTGATTTATTGTTGGATTTATTTTCTTATCAAGCAAGGACTTGGTCTAATAATTAAAATGCAGAAAAATCCTTAATTCAGATGTTTTCGTGGTACTCCTCTAGTAGTTGAGAGTGAACAAATGACCCCAAAATCCCCACGTTTTCCTATCTCCTTAAATAGTTTCCAAATTTATACCTAGTCCCCGCTCCCACTGAGGGGTCTCGCAGCTGCCAGAACTCTGCTGAACAGTGGAAAACTGTTTACAGAAAAGGCTCGCTAAGGAGGTCAAATGAGTACAATCAAGTCTATTTTTTAGGACAAGCCCAAGTCAGTAAGAACTTTCCTTATTCTCTACTTACACTAGAAGAAAAGAAGGAAGAAAAAAGAATGCTAGGGGAAAGAGAAAATACATGTACATAATTCAGTAACAAGAAATATTGTAATAATTTAAGTGTGTGGGAACACACGACCTCGCCGATGGTAGGTGATGGTTTGATGTTTGGTGACTATACAGATCTCAGCCAAATTGACTGCTAATGAAACACCTCTGACAGCCTGTGTCCTGGTTCAGCAACTCCTTCATATTAGAAATTGTGATACCTGGCCACATAATTAGAACTGATTGTATTTCCTAATATGTGCTTTACCCTCTTGAGACCACTGTACTCCCCTCTCTGTTTCTTACATTCCTTGCCAAAACAAAAAAGTTCTCTCTGTAGCCATATTTCCATAAAACTTCAGGTTTAATAGCGTGAATAAAAAGATAAAGCAAGCTTCTCATCATTAACGACAGCCAACACTGAGCATGCACTCAATGCTGGACACTTCTGTGCTATTTGCATACATCATTTCCTTAATTCTTACAACAACCCTGTGAGACTAAGTACTACTATTATCCCTGTATCATAGGTGAGAAAACTGAAGCACAGAGATATTACATATCTTGTCCAAGGTCACACAGCAAGCAAACAGGTAAAATCCAAGTTTTGAAGCACGATACTTACCATACTATAACAAAGTTACTCCGTGTATTGGAATCCCATATTGGGTGATGTGTTTCTAAAAGGGAGAACCCACACCTGCGAGCATTAATTGAGGAGGCAAATAGGTGGATGACAAAGCAGGAAATGGCTGAAAAGCAGGTGCTTAGATCTTAGCAAGGCCATGCCTTGTAACAGCAAAAAAAAGTTGGGAAGGAATCAGAATGTGCCATATTTGAAGATTAGTTAAGTTAATTATGGCAAGCTATGTACACAGTTAAGCAGCAATTTAAGTGATGGCGAAGTGGTGTATTTATTGACATGAAAAACACTCACGTTATATATGGATAGCTTAATGATGAATTCCTCTGCAGGGCTTCTGCAACTACTCTGTAACACACATAAGAAGACTAAAGAGATGAAAAGGAAGGAAATGTTGGAGGGAAGGGAGAGAAGGAGCAGGGAGAACGGATCAGCAGTCTTGAAACTTTTGACCAGCTAGTTATTTTTGGCTCAAGAACATTTATCATCTCCTGGTGAAAAAAGAAACCAGTGACCCAAGCTAACCTTACTCTTCTTCAATATTTTTATGATTATGTTATGTTTAACTGTTTTTAAAAATAAGTTCATCATTTATACATTGAGTATGATTAAGATGTTCTCATTATTCTCAAATAGTCTTTGTAAAAAAATTATGAACATGTTCTTGTCAGCAGTAGGTTCTAGTAATGGGCTAGAAACCACATCTCGATGGTACTGGTTGTGGGAAAGCTGGGAGGAAAGAAGAGCGGGATATTAGAAACAAGAGCAAACCTAAGCCAGGGCATGGAAATGCTGGCTGTTTCCAAATAACTGGGACAGCAATGGGAGGTGTGCCCCAGGAGTGGGACGGGAGCCTGGTGCTGTAACTAGGGGCAAACATAACAGAAGCATGCAGCAGCACAGTATTATTCCAGAGAATTTACTAGAAACAAGGCTTGAGGGATGCAACGCAATGGGAATGCATCCTCTGATATCAAGCTGGAAATAGTGAGGGGGATGAAAAATACCCTAGTTGGTGAATCCAGGCTTTCTGGTGGTAGATCCATGGAAATTGGTATTCCAGAGCTGATAGTTCTCAGCTCAACTGTCTTCTCACTGGGAGAGGATTTGACAGCTCATTCCAGAGAGCTAGAAAGGAGTTCTAGCTACAAACCTAGCTTGTATTAATTATGCCGAATAAATGTCAAAGTCTGCTTCACTGCTGCCAATCATTTTGCCACTGAAGATGGCTCCATTGAGGGTGAGTTATCTCTGACAGCGTTAGACATGGGATATGGACAAACCAAAGCTACGTATTACCTGAGCAAAGATCGGGAAAAGCATAGGGGATAGTGATAAAGA